ACACACACACACACACACACACACACACACACACACACACACACACAGGGGTCCAGTTCCATTTCAATCGCAGCTCAACTCGTCTCCGAAAAGTCAGGAAAAGAAATCTGCGTCTCAAGCGAAATGGGACGTCTCCCCCGCTTACAGACCTGAACCTCACAGTCCACATAAAGTACACACAACTACACGTTTCAGTGCATCCAACACAGTCCGTCGTATGTCGCCCACTACATCATCACAGGAACCGCAAAACAAATGAATCCATTAAAAAGATCAAATAAATAAAACGAGGTCCAGCCTCTTTACTTCTCATTTCATTTCCATCTTAAGAAATGCATACAAGGCGATTTGTGTGAAATGAAAGTAGCTGCGATGACTACAGGACAGCCTGCTCGTCTCTGTTAGAAAAGACAAGGAACTACGTTTACAGTATTGGGATATTTTACTCAAAATCAACACTGTCAAACACACACAGAGAGGGGACATTTTTTAACTGCTCGAGTGCTGTTAGTCTGTGTCGCTGCACAGTGTCGGGCCGCAAATTCTACTCTTGGTTTGATTTATTTAATTATTTTACGCAAAACAAACTCACCGGCCAGATGCTAACAACGCTATCGGTGGTCTATCGTGTAAAATAAGCCTTCACATCTGCTTCGTCCCCGACCCCACGTCTAGAGAAAGAAGTGTCCTTGTGATAAGACAACATCTAAATGAAGGCAGCTTTAGATACTGTACTGTACCTGTTGTTGAACAGGTACAGTTCTCACAGCACCCACCGTGGAGGAGGGCCGGCTAACAGTGTTACAAACACCAGACGGTCTGAAGGGGAAGAAAAACAAAGATAACAAAGCAAAAGCTTCTGTAAACACAAGTGACAGCAGTCAAGTATTCTCTCCCTCCAATTCTCTCCAAAAAAAAAAATCGAGGTGATTAAACATAGAGGACGTGGGATCTAAAAATAAAACCGTTGGTCTCTTCCTGGCCTGGATTTGCATGCGGGTCTGAAGTCGAGTCAGTCACAGTTGCAGGGCTGAAGCCTCCTGGAGGAAACCCCGAAGACCTCACACTGACAACAGGCCTTTTGCATAGCTCTCCCTCGCTGATGCGCTCACACACACACACACACACACACACACACACACACAGACACACACAGAGACACACACTAAAGAGGGCGCCGCGTTTGCTTAGGCAAAGGTGTGTCGATTGTGAAGTTTGCATACGCTGTCGCTCCTTCTTTTCTCTGTCGTCCAATAAGAGCGTGCTAGCACCCGCGCTATTGCATCTGTATAGTGAGGAAGTCGGGCCTAAGTTCTGCCGTCTGAGATTCCAGCTTATTGCTAACAGGATGAGCGTCGGCTCTCCCAACACACGGCCAGAACATCCGATGCAACTATGCAAACGTCACAGTCTTTGCTTCAATGGTACGTTCACAAGACATAACATAGTTGGTGAAGAGGTGATGAAGGTATTATTTTCTCTGAAGTTAGGATTTCACAAACAGCATACGTGACTGAAAACACTCACTCTTTATATCACTTTTTCTTCTTCCTTGTCTTCACTTGTAGATTTTGGTAAACCTTCTGCAGAACCAGCTGCGAGAGTCCACTCGGCTAAACGTCACGTCGGCGTCGTGTGTGTACATGCAAATGTTTTCACATGCTTTGACTGCATTTATGAAAAATAAGAAGTGCAAGAGCAAAGCTAAAAAAAAATCAGAGCCTCGGGGACCAGGTCAGCACATGTGAGTCAAACTAGTGTGTGTGTGTGCATGGGTTGAATATGTGTGTGTGTGTGTGTGGTGGCGTGTTCTAATAAACAAGCACGTAAGTGTCGGGCTGAGCTAATCTGTCACTGGATGAGAGAATGAATGAATGGATGCTGAAGGCCAAAATGGTGCAAAAGGCATGTGGAGACTGAAGACTAGATACGCCCAGATGAGAGTGATGGACCGTGTGGCACGAGCGAGTGCAGCATTTATCCTTAATTTCTGATGATTTATCCAACGTACTTATTTGAGTCTCCTTTTTTTTGTTTTTTTTTGCATACAAACAAAAGAAACGAAGCAAAGAATCAATCAACTAAAAGTCCTGCGCAGTGCTGCAACTGGTGAGATATGGCTGACGTCCCGGAGGACTTTGATTCCCAGGGGTTCTGCAGTCCAGCTGTTCCGCCGTCAGTAGTCGGCCACGGGCGCCAGCTCTCTGCTCAGGCGGACCGTGATGTTGGTGTAGAGAGGCCTCCTGGACACTAGGGGGGAGTAGTTCAGGTTGTTGAGACCGTCCACTCTCTGTCTCTCCTTGGAGTGGCGTAGCAGACTGTACCTGCATGAACAAACCGACGAATCAGACGGGAGAGGAGAACACAGCGCAATACAAGGACAGTTTAATGTTCTGGTGAGAGACGATCGACGTGTCCTCGTACGACGGTTCGTATGATCTCCTGCAGAAAGCTACTCTTCATTTTTCGTGCGTTTTTCTACGAAAGCCTGCAACGCGTGTCAATTTCTGCTCGTTACATGGGTACCGATATAAACTTCCATCTTCACAGGAAACTCAGTTTTAAGCAACACAACTACTTAGATTTAATAAAAAATTGTTGTTTGGGTTACAATAACCACAAGTGCCGTTACTGAAGTACACAAGTTACATGACAACATATCAACGTTGACGTCTCCTGTTTGTTGGACCCGCCCACCTCGTGTGTGCTTTTGCGGTCTTTTATATTTCCAATATGAAGGAATTACGCTGCACTGCATTACCTTTTGTAGGTATTGCTACGAATGCTGCATAAGACCAGCCTGTAAGATACAGTGACGAGCATGTTGCAATGATGTCATCACGTTATTGATGTTTAAACTGTCTGACATAGATGAGTCATCGTCTGTAGCTCAAACAAAGTGTTTTTTTTTTCATGGAATTTATCCCTGCAGCGTTGTTGGCATGAATACAGAAGATTGATTGGGATAACTTCATAAAAAGATTTCCAAAGGCGGAATTATTTGTAGTACCGTACTTGTTAACACATGAAATAAAAACGTAATTCCCTTGGTTTTAAAGTAACGCTGAGTGAGTGCAGAGAAAGCGCCTGGTTGGAACTCAGCCCCGAAGCAAACAAGCAAATCACATGCACAGTCTTTAAAGGAGTAGAAACGCTCTCAAAATCACTGCTCTGGCTTTGCATGTGACTGGCACCACACCACATGAAACTCTGTGTGTGTGTGTGTGTGTGTGTGTGCTCATAGACACTAACCTTCCTAGGAACTGGACTTCCCCGCGATGGTGATGATGAATTGACATGTAGCGTCCCTGCTCTCCGTGTGGTCTACTTACTGTGTAGTTGGCGTACCGTACCCTGCACAAACGTATTAGATGCTCATTAGTCCGTAGTGTACACAGGCAGGCAGAACAAGCACTGCAGTGATGACTGTCATTGTTTACTGAGGTAATAGATCAAGAGAGAAGTAGTCATTCTCTCATAGACTTCGATACAACCAGAGGAGTCGCCCCCTGGTGGACATTAGAGAGAATGCAGCTTTAACTCATAAAGCGTCGGCTTCACTCATAAGAAGACGGAGGTTGCCGCCTGGTTCAACCTCAAAAGAAATTCCCTCGAGGCGTTTCTGAGATACCGCATTAACAGGAATGGACCAAACGGACAACCTAAAAACATAATGGCTGCTGGCGGCACGGAGGCAGAACAATCGGTCATAATTGGCGGTTGATACCGCTGAGCCCTGATTGTGAACAGCTGCCTGTGAGCTGTGTGTGTGTATGTCTGTGTGTGTGTGGGGGGGACGACAACAACATCGCTGTGTGGCAAAGACAAATGGAGGAAACTAACAACACAAAAACTAATATAAAAGCCGGCTATTTGCCAAGTGATCTCTTAAGCATGCCTAATGTCAACGATACCGAGCTTTCTCTCTCTGTGTGTGTGTGTGTGTGTGTGTGTGTGTGTATATGTTCCCCCTCACCTGTTCCAGAGGTCATCGTCCTCTCCTCCCCAGCCCCAGAATGCATTAGGAAATCCATTAATCTTTTTGAACTGCTTCACCGTCAGGCCACTGACACCGCCGAAGAACTCATTATACGGAAGCCTTGGAGGGACAATTACACGTATTAAACCCGTATCAAGTAAGGGAATACATTCACTGTATAAGCCCAGAGGAGAAGGAATTAAGGACTCACATGTAGGAATACTTGTCGAGTTTAACCGCAAAGTGCCGGGGCATGTCCGTGCAGCCGTAGTAGTTCCTGTCGTTCTCCATGAGGTGGTCCACATCGTGGAAGACCAGACAGTCCCAGTCCAGGTCCTTCATAGCCTCCTTGTAGCCCACGTTGAACAACATGGCTCGGTTGAATGGCTCCGTACCCCCCTTTTGTTAAAGGAAGAAAAAAAAGAGACTATTTTTGTAGGTTGTTATGCAAAAGCTTCAGTTCAGCCAGAGTCACTTCCTGCAACTGTTTGTACTTTACTCAGACGAGTCTGTCAGTCCTCACTGACTGTGAAAAGGTGTGTGCATCATACCTGCTCTATGAAATAAAAGGCAAACTGGAGTCTCTGTCTTGTCAGCACCGGCACCAGGTGTCTCAGGAGAATGGGCAGGTGTTCGTGTCGGTTCCTGAACGGGACTAGGATTGCCACCTGAGGGACACGAGTTAGATCAGAGTACAATAGATTCAAAAGGACATTTAAAAGTGTGGGGACACACAGAGTACTATTTGCACAAAGTGAATGTTTGTGGGGGTCGGGTGAAACTGTGGGTGAAGAAAAAAAAACAAAACCCACAAGAGTGTCAGGTTACTGAAATCTCATTTCCACAGTGAGCATCAATCGTTAGAAGCACCGAGGTGCTAAATGTCTGTAAAAGGTCATTTATTCCCCCCCATACAATGGCAGCTATGGTAGTGCTTGTTTTTTTAAAGTTCCTTTGAAGCTCAACAAAAAGCAAAGTGTCACAGGAAGACAACAAAAAGCAAGGGAGATGGAAAACAACGATTCGCTAAGAGGGAAACTATAAAGGTGGCTGAGAGAGAGAGAGAGAGAGAGAGAGAGAGAGAGAGAGAGAGAGAGAG